CAACACTGAGATATCGTCTTACACTGGCCAGAATGGCTAAAATAAGAAACACCAATGACAGTCTGTGCTGGAGAGGATGTGGAGAAAGGGGAACACTCCTCCATTGCTGGGGGGAGTGCAAACTTGTGCGGCCACTTTGGAAATCAGTATGGTGGTTTCTCAGGAAAATGGGAATCAGTCTACCTCATGATCCAGCAATTCCACTCTTGGTCATATACCCAAAGGATGCACATTCATACAATAAGGATTTATGTTTGACTATGTTCATAGCAGCAGTATTTGCAATAGCCAGAACCTGGAAGCAACCTAGATGCTCCTCAACTGAAGAATGGATGGAGAAAATGTACATTTACACAACGGAGTACTACTCAGTGGGAAAAAATGAACCAAATGCAGGCAAGTGTGTGAAATTGGAAGAAACAATCCTGAGTGAGGTAACCCAGTCACAGAAAGGCAAGCATGGTATGTACTCACTCATATATGGATATTAGATATAGAGCAAAGGACTACCGCCTACAAGCCACACCACCAGAGAAACTAGGAAACAAGGAGAACCCTAAGAGAGAAGAAATACATGGTCCCCCGAAGAAGGGAAAGGGACAAGAACTCCTGAGAAAATTGTGAGCAGGGGTGGGGGAAGGGGAGGAGAGGAATGGCGTGGCGGGGGAGTGTTGGTGGTGGTGGTGGAGGGAGATAGGAAAAGAGAAGGGGAGAAGAGGAGGTGAGAGGAAGACATGAGGAAGCAGCAAGATTGAGTCAGGGAAAGCATAGAGGAGAGCAAGAAAAGAGAACTTAATAGAGGGAGTCAGTTTAGGTTTATAGAGAAATCTGGCACTAGGGAAATGTCCAGAGATCCACAAAAATGACCCCAACTAAGAGTCTAGGTAGTATTAGAGAGGCTGCCTTTGGTGCCCTTCCCCTATAATGAGATTGATGACTACTTTAATTGCCGTCCTAGAGCCTTCATCCCATAGCTGATGGAAGCAGAAGCAGACACTCACAGCTAAGCAATGAGCCATACTCCTGGAATCCAGTTATACAGAGGGAGGAGGGATCAGCAAATGAATCAAGACCGTGCTGGAGAAACCTACAGAATCAGCTGACCTGACTTAGTGAGAGCACAGAGACCCCAGCCGTAAGGCTGGGGAACCAGCATTGGACTGAACCAAACCCTATGAATGTGGGTGCCAGTTAGGAGGCCTGGGCAGTCTATGGGACCTCTAACAGTGGAACCAGTATTTATCCTTAGTGCACAAATGGACTTCAGGAGCCCATTCCCTATGGAGGGATACTATTTCAGCCCAGATACATGGAGGAAGGCCTAGGGTCTCGCCCAAATGATGAGACAGACTTTGATGATCCCCCATGGAAGGCCTCACCATCCTTGGGGAGTGGGTGGGGGGTGGGTTGTGGGGGTTGGTAGGGGACATGGGAGTATGGGAGAGAGAGGGAAAGGGAAGGATTGATATGTAAAATGATTGTTTCTAAATAAAAAATAAAGAAAAAAAGAGTTAGGGATGTTTCTTCACACAGTCGCAATGCCACCATCATACCTTTAAGTCAATGAATAATTCATTAATATTTAGCCCCTAATCCACCATTCCTTCATGCTTCTCTCCCCATCCTCGTTTTCATCCCCATCCCTGGTTATCTGATTGGCAACAGAACTAACTGTACATATTGTATCTGAGAAATGTCTTTAATTCTTTTTATTTGAAGTAGAACTTTTCTCCCTCCTATTTACCACACCAACCAACACTTAAGCCACTACAGAGCATGCACATCTTTCCTTAATTCCTTTTCTGTTCCTCTTTCTCCATATTTTTTCTCCAATATTTTCCTCCATCAAATATTACTGCACTAGCTCCTCAGGGACTTTTTGTGAACAAAAAGTTTCACGGTGCCTCCTTTCAGAGATTGTACCTTCCTCCTTTTGTCCAGTGTCTTGTTTGAAATAGTCACAGAAGTGACCACCCTCTCTTCCTCCTGCCTAGGAAACCCTGTGGTCTATAGAATGACTTTAGAGATGCAAGAACTGACTCCCAGCTCCATCACTATCCACCCCATGACTGTGAGGACTTCCCTTAACACACTGTGTCTTGTATTCTTCGGATGTTGGTGATGCCTTTCAAATACTTATTCTCCACAAGGTGAAAATAGGTAGAGGAAACTTCTTCCCAAATCTTAAGGTCCTGGTGAGCGAACTAAGACAGGTGTAATGCTAGATGCCTAGACATGACTGGGCTTAGCATCTAGCCACCAAGAACACTCACTTAGAATACAGGCTCTAAGATAAATCCCTTCTATATCTGTTAATAACACCACATATCACTAATGACACCACTCTGAGAGACATATCTGGAGTTAAAAAGATAGAAACCACAGAGTGAATTATTCACGTCAATCTCAGAAGCCACATGTGACCAGTAGCTACCACGTGGGCCAGTGCCATATCCAGCAACAGTGGCCATGTACAGGTCTCTGGTCAGGCCCCAGCTTCTCTTTCACCTATTATTAGACATGGGGACCCACTTTGCTCAGCCACTTTTACTTAAGTAGCACCTGGGTTGGCCTTTGCTAAACACTATGTCCTGGGTATGGTGCTAGACTGGCTTGAGGAAGGGGCTAATACAAGTAAGTTAGATTTCTATCACTTGCCAACAAAAATATTCCAATATATGCTAGTATACCCACAGCCAGACTCTATATGGGTTAAGCTTCTTTTAGCATGGCAGTTGAGCTCACAGAAACAGTTCCGAGAGCCCGCCTTGAGTCTGAAGGTAACTTTCAGGATTTCTTCTGGCTTTGCTTCAGAAGCCCTGCAGTTTCTCTCCCTCCAAGTTTTGTTTATATCAAGCCACTAAAGCCACCTCTGACTACAAGTAGGGGAACCAGGCCCTGCCACTGGTCGGGAGGGAAGCAAGGTCATGTTGCAGAAGAGCAGGTGAGTGGAACATAGCAGCATGAGGTCATCCAGAAACAAAGACTGTTTACAAAGCAGTTGTCTTGGGAAGTTTTTACCTGCAAGTAACCAAAGAGTCAACTAGCAGTGGCTTAAAGACAAGGGTTATTGTTGCAAGCAAAAGGGCAAATTACACCAGTCACTGAGCAGCATCACTGGGGATGTTCTGTGTTTAGACCTTGCCACTTCAACACTCACAGTGAATCTCAGTCCTCTGGTTTCTGTAACCATTCTACCCATCAGAAAGTGACATAGCAATAAAAGGTAACAAAGCAAAAGGAGGACCTGGGCCAGGGAAGACGAATAAAGGACTTACTTCAGAAGCATGAAGACCTGTGTTTGGATCATCTGCACACTTACGACAGCTGAGTATGGCTGCATGTCTGTAACATCCTCAGCCCTTGGGAGAGTGCAGACAGGCATATCCAAGGAACTCACTGCCAATCCAGTCTAGATGAAACAGTGAGGTCCAGGTTTAGTGAGAGACCCTGCCTCAAAATTAAGGCTGGCAACACGATTTTGCAGGTCAAGGCCCTGGCCACCTTGGATGGCCTAAGTTTGGATGCCCTAAGGTTGATTCTTAGAACTCATATAAAGGTGGAAGGACAGAACTATCTCCATAAAGTTGTCCTATGACCATCACACACAAATAAATAAATAAATGTTAAAAAAGAAAGGAGTGACATTTTCTCCTATGGATTTTGTGATTTTTTAAAAAAACAATGAACACAAGCTACATTCATCTGGGAGGAGGCCATCTCAACTGAAAAACAATGATTCCATCTGATTGATCCATAGGCAAATCTGTGGGGCATTTTGCTGACTGAGGATGGATATGGCAGAGCCAAGACCACTGAGCTGGATTGGATTGTATAAGAGAGCAAGCTGAGCATGTCATGGAAAGCAAACTAGCAAGCAACACTCTTCCATGACTTCTGCTTCAGCTCCTGCCTCCAGGTTCCTGCCTCGAGTTCCTGTCCTGCCTTCCTTGATGATGAGCTGTAAGCTGTAAGACTGAATAGATTCTTTCCTTCTAGGTTGCCTTTAGTTCTGGTGTTTGTCACAGCAATAGAAAACAAACTAAGGCAAGTTAATCAATCAGCACAAATCCTTTCCCCTAAGCCAATGGCAACTCACCTGCTGTCCCATTGGTCAGGCCGAGGCTAAAAGGAAAGCTAGAGTGGAAACAATGTTTTCCCAGTCTGTAAAGTTGGAAAGGCTTCTGTGAGTGTGAAGAAGGGGAGAGGATGTGCAGTTGGTGAGAATGGGTGAGAAGCGAGCAACACCAACATCCACAACAGTCTCTGGAAAACGTTCACTCAAGGGTAGTAACTGATGCTCAGACACGAGGAATGCATAGAGCCAAGAGAAGGGCCACACCAGTGAGAAAGGCACTGTCCGTATCTGCTAACATGGAACATGCAATTACATAGTTAAATGAAGACATGTCAAATGCCATGCAGTGATCACTGTGCCGGTCAGACATAAGTACAAATAATTATGTATCCAAGCATGTGGAAATGAAGGATGAGATTGTGGCTGTAAATACAAAGAGAGGCATCAGTTGCTTGCTAAGTCTAAAAATCATCTTTGAAAGCATGCATTTCCCACTGTGTGAGAGAGTGAAGCACCATGCTGAGCACACAGCAGTATCCTGTCATTAGAGAGGTCACTGTGTCACTGGTGTTTATGACATGTCTTTTGAACTCTAGTCTTATGGCTATCTGATTTTCTTCTGTCCAGTTGTGTCTTCACCACAGAACTTCAGATAGTTTGGCTACTTGCCCAGGTGCTAGGGAAATGAGTGCATTTTCCAGTTCCTAGAAAGTTGCCTGTCATCATACAATGTTATTTGGTACACTTAATGTGAGCATGAGCAGTCTAAGCCCAAATTCTCTGAGATGACCTGAAATTTGGGAAACATACCTTCAAAGCTAAAAGTAGAGACTGGGAACTCAAAGTGAGCTCCACTCCCTGCCCATGCAGGAGCCAAAGTTTGCGTGCCAAAGCCTTGTCCTTGGCAGCATTCAAAACCTACCTTGTACATTCCTTTGATAACGGCTATGGCATCACTTAACTGCTGTTGAAAGCTTTTTCTCAATGTGTCTTCAGACTGCAAACCAAAAATAAATATAGTAAGCACCACTGTACTTCTGAATCTAGTCCACACCTCATGGTAAAGAAGGCATAGCAAAAATTCACCATACAAATCGTAAGAATTTCAGTGTATCACCATTTCTTGTATACCAAAGCTATTATAGCATGTTTAATTTTTATTTGTGACTACCAGTGACCAATACAAAGCTGCTGTGGATAAAATACAGATAATCTGACAATGTGTCATTTTGCACATCGACGGAAGTCTTACAGACGGTTCCCAGAATTACTTAGAAAAAGAATAAGAGTCACTGATGCTCACGTGTGCTTATAGTCCATATGCTTTTTTGTTTTTAACTGTTTTTGTGTGTATGGGTGATTTCCTTGCATGTATGTTTGTGCACCACTTGTGTGCTTGGTGCCCAGGGAAACTAGGAGAGGGAGTGATATCCCATTGAACTGGAGTTACAGATGGTTGTGAACTGTCATGTTTTCTAAAGAACAACCAGTACTCTGACAGACTTCTCCAGCCCCTAGTCATTCTACTTCTTGATGGAATAGGCTCATAGAAAGGTTAGCTATAATAATTTTATTATTCAAATAAATTTGATTATATTTGCTTAGGGTAAGAATGAATACTTTTAAAAATACTTTTGATTCTCATTTCCATTCTGATTCTAGCATGGTATGTAACCAACATGTAGGCATTAGGGTCAGAAAGGTCTGAATTTAAATACTGTGCTCCCCTATGGTTTGAGCTGATATAAGGTATCAAACTTGACAAGCTTAGTTTCTGAAATTTGTACCTCAAGACCAACAGAATTTCCATTTGGGGATTTTGAGATACTTGAAGATTGGATAAATGTATTCAAAATGCTTAGCAAAGCATCTACTATGATGTGGTCACTAAAATATGAGTCTTTTTCTTTTAGCACAGAAATAATACCAATTTTTTATAGTTTATTTTAGACCAAGTCTCACTGTGTAGATCAGGCTAGCCTGAAACTCTCAGAGGTCCTGGAAAAAGTCAGCAGATGAAAGAAATCACAAAGATCAAGGCAGACATTAATGACACAGTAGCAAACAATAACAAAACCCATACAAAGAATCAATGAAACAAAGAGTTGTTTCTTTGAAAATGGGTTGACAAACACTTAGCCAAACAGAAGAGGACAAGCAAGATGGCTCACAGGGTAAAGGGACTCTGCCAAACCCGATTACTTGAGTTTGATACCTGAACCCACACAGTGGAGGACTCTGACCTCCACATGGATACCATGGTGCTTGCATATCTATCCCACTATACACACACAAAAGAGTCAAAAGAAAGGTAGATGACCCAATTGAATAAAACTGGAGGCTAAAATGGAGTCATTGCAACAGATAACAGTGAAATTCAGAAAATCATTAGTCAACTTAAAAACTTATATTTCAATACATTTGAAAATCTAACAGTAATGGATGGGTTTCTAGGTGAAGGTGACCAAAATTAAACCAAGATGAGACAAACAGCTTAAACAGATCTACTCACTATAATAGAAATATTTTAAATGATGAAAAACTCAAAAGCACTTTCAGTAAAGTTTGGAACAAGACCAGGGTTCCTACTTTCTACATTCTTACTTACTTAGTACTAGAAGTCTATATATAGCAACTAGACAAGAGAAACAAATAAAAGGAATATAAAGGCTGGAGACATGACTTGGTTAGGAGCACTTGTTGCTCAAGTATGAGGACCAGGGTTCATATCACGCACCCATATTAGGTGGTTCACAAGCCTCTGTACTCTAGCTCTAAGGAATATGACACCATCTTCTGGTTTCTGTATGTACCCACCCTCACATGTGCACATACATTCACATATACACATAATAATAATATTTGTAAAAGGATACAAATGGAAAATAAAAAGTTGAAATACCCTTATTTGCAGATGATATAATTCTATACCTAAGAGACAGTAAAGATTTCACCAAAAAGTCCTAGAATCATAACACAAAAATGAGCAGCCTTCCTAAATTCCAATGACAAACTACTTAAAAGAAATCAGAGAAGCAATTCCAGTCACAAACAGATAACAATGAGAAAGGAAGGAAGAAAGAAGGAGGAAAGAAAGGAAGGAAGGAAGGAAGGAAGGAAGGAAGGAAGGAAGGAAGGAAGGAAGGAAGGAAGGAAAGCCCAGCTTTGGAATAAACCCCAACCTAGGAATTGAACAACTACAATTACAACTTTTAAAGCACTGAAGAGGGAAACTGAGGAAGACAGTAGAAGATGGAAACACTTTCATTCTCATGGGTCAGAAGAATCAAACCTAGAAAAATGGTTGTCCAAACAAAAGCAAACTCAAGTCACTGCAAAGCCAACCAAAGATCCAGCATTGTACTTCACAGTCATAGAAAAGACTATCTTAACATTCACATGGAAGTCCATAAAACCCTGGGTAGCCAAAACAATCCTGAGCCAAAAGAATACAACTAGAGGTATCACCATGTCTGGTTTCAATTTATTCTACAGATGCACAGTAATACAGACAGCATGGTACTAGACAAAAACAGATATCTGTGTATCAATACAATAGGACAGAAAACTGAGATATAACTTTATGCAACTAGAGCTGCCTGAATTTTGATGAAGGCACCAAAAATACACATTGGAGGAAGGAAAGCATCTTCAACAAATGATTCTGGGAATGCTGTGGAAGAATGAAACTAGACCTTTCATTGTCTCTCACCTTGCATAAAAATAAACTCCAAATGAATCAAGGACTTCAGTGTAAGACCTGGCACTCTGAAACTGATGGAGGAAGAGTAGCATGCGTGTCAAGATACAGGCATAGGTAAGAAAGGGAAGAACTTGACCCTCTGAAGAAATATGACCAATAATTGGCAAATGGGATTTCATAAAAGTGAAAGCTTCGATAGAGCAAAGAAGTTGAGTGAAGAGGCAGCCTACAGAGCAGAAGAAAAATCTTTGCTGTCTGGACATCCACCAGATGATTAGGATCTAGCATTTGAAAAACAAAACAAAGAACCCTCAGTAAACTAGGCATGTGGGTAACAACCCAGGAAGCTGGGGTGGGAGAGGTGGTCCTTCCCAGGAAACAACACACCAATTGGCTGTCCAGTGTCAAATGGTCATCCCTGAAAATATGCATACAAGTACCATTGTATGCACTAAGAAGGTTATATTTAGAAATTGCATATATATATATATATATATGCATATATATATGCATGCAATAACAATTAATGAAAAAAAGAGACCATGAATCTGAAGTAGAGTAGGGAAGGATACATGTGAAGGTTTGAAGGGTGGAAAGGGAAAAGGGAAATGTGATTATATTACAATCTCCAAAAAAAACAAAATTAGTGTATGGGGTTAAAGGCTTGAACAGGAGCATGGGGGATCAGGCAGGAATGTTGGGAAGAGGCTAAACCAAACATAAGGATGTGGGAAGAAACTTTATGAAAATCCATTTCTCCCTCCCCTCTCCGGTGTGTGTGTGTGTGTGTGTGTGTGTGTGTGTGTGTGTGTGCTTAAAGAAAGATTTTGAATGAAGCTACCCTGTATCAGTGAGCAAATATTAAGTGAAAATCTCAATGCCAGGTGTGGGACACCATTCCATTCCCTGATCTATTGGTAAGACTTCAAGGACTCCAGAACAACACAGGCTAGTACCTTTGCTCTGACATGCCCATTTTAACTAGATGATGGGACTTCACTCATGGAAACACAGAAAATTTTGTTTTAGTGCATAGAGAAGCCAAGCTAGATGAGACTTGGAAACTTGTTCCCTGCTGGTCAATTTTCTTAATGTCAAGGAACACTATGCCGGCCACCGGGGAACAAAGTCATCAGTGGACTTACCCAGTGGTAGGTCCTGCAGGTATAACACTGACCTACCAGGATAGATGTGACCACGGCTGTAATCACAGAGTGACGGCATGAAGGTAATCCATTTTTTTCTGATTAGTTTTGAAGCCTATTTCACAACTAGAGAATTCATGCTAGGTACCATAATCCTGATCAAAAGCCAATGGCTTGTGACAGAAGAGTTGGCTCAGGGTAAACATACTGGCTGCCCTTCCAGAGGACCAAGGTTTGATTCCCCAAACCCACAAAGATACTCACAAAATCTCTGTAACTCCAGTTCCAGTAGATTCAACACCTTCTTATGTATAGGAACCAGGTAGTGTCATATACAGGGAGTAGACACCCACAGGAAAACACACATACACACAACATAATAAAATAAAACCGCATGGCTCAGGGGAGCATAGGACCTAGAAGTGGGTAACCTACTACTATTGTTTTGTTAAATAGACATTTTTAAAAAGCCCCAATGGCCTTCTAAATATTTATTTTTAGACCCCCAAATTAGTGATGCTCTCAACCTTGGTCAGAGCTTTCTTCTTTCAGTGGCAACAGTCAAGGCAGAGACTCTCAGGTGGTTGAAGTGAGAAGAGTAAGAAATATTCAGCCCTAAATAAGATATCTATATTACCCCCCAAAGTTCAGCGAGCAAGCAGAAGAAGGAGCTGAAAGAGTGTGAACACCAAGAATGTGGACAGCGCTGTAAGATGCTGGATTTGTAGTAGCCATGGTTTCCTAAGCAAGACCCCCCCTTATTTCAAGCTGGTCAGTAATTCCAGTGTGGATGGGGAAGGGTTCATGAGGTTTCACCCCTAGCTGAGGAGCTATTGGTGGTTGGTGGGTGCTGGGGGCGGAAGCCGTTTGTCTTTGGTTCTATGGTCACTGATATGCTGCACATGCTCATGCACTGCACTAGGCAAATTGAATGGATTATTTAAAAAAAAACAAAAGGCATGAAAGCAGGGTGGGCATGTGTTGTGGGAGGGTCTGGGGGAGTTGGAAAGGCGAGATGGGATAGATACGATTAGAACACATTGTATTTACGCATGAAATTATCGAAAAATAAATAAAAGTACTATACTATAAAAAATATGTTCAAAAGCAAGTGTCTGGCAGAGAATCTAAAGTTCTACTGCCTGGGTGGTAATTGTGAGCAAATGAACCTGTTCCCCTATCAGTAACAATCATACCAACTGTACAAGGTAATTGTGAGAATTACTGAGGCCACACACAAAGTGTTCACCCAAGTTCCTGACAGTGTTAGCTCCTAGAGATACATCTTACATGAGATACGTCTTACATAAGTGCAGTCACCCTCCTAAGTGACTACATCCAAACCCAAACACATCTAACACAGGATCAATCCATGTGGGAGAGAAAAGGACCTACCTGTCGATAATATTTTTTCATTTCTGAAATCCTGTCTTGAAGCACACCGAGGATTTTCCAAGACTCCTCTTTAAGTCGGTCCTCGAACTTCAGTTGAACTAAATCTTTGAGGAACCCAAAATCCACCTGAAGTGATGTAATCATCTACAAAATAAAAATCACATGTCAGTGTCGAGAGTGTGGCTCTAGGTGCCAATATTCCAGCACATTCCTTGTTTTGGAGCACTAGACCTGGTGCCTGGTTTACCTTTGATGATTATCTCTCAGATATAGTATTTTGGAGAAGTTAAATAATTCTCCCTTGCCATGCCTAGGTTTTCAAAATGATGTCTAATTTCAAAACTAAGATAAGCTAGTGGGGTGGTATGGTGTGAGGATAGCCTTCCCTTCCAAAACTCATGTTGGAATTCAATCTCCATCATGAAACATTAAGGGAATATGAGATCTTAGTGTGACTATGGTGTTTACAGGTGGGAACATGGGGATGTGATTAGGATTAGATAAAATCCTGGGGCAGAAGAGAGAGAGAGAGGTGTGGGAAGGAGGAACCAGAAGAGGAGGCAAGAGCAGGCAAGACAGTACTTGTGAACGGTGTCTTACAGAAGGTTCCCAAAGCTTCCTGCTACAGTCGCCATCTAAATCCTCCTGACTAAAACTTAGTTTGAGCATACCTAGTTACTGAGGAAGAAAATTATAAAGATGCTGCCAGAACATGTGTCATTCTAAAAAAAGACAATAAATTGACAAGTATGTGGCAAGGTGACATCTTCAAATGCTCTTAGTGTAAATTGGTCGTCTTTCAGCAGGGCAACTTGGCACTGCCCTTCAAAATGACTCATGTACGTACCCTCTGACTCACAAGTTCTCTTTTAAGAATTTACACCCAGATTTACTGACATTTGGGCCCATGCAGGATTAATCATCACAGAGAAAGATTAGAAATTACCAAAATGTCTATCAACACAGGGGATAGTTAAACATTGGTGTACATCTTGTGATGTAGTTGTGAAATAAGCAAGATATTAGGTATTAAACCCAGGACCTTGTCCAAGGTGGACAAGCCCTCTATCCCACTAAGTTCCATCCCCAGTTGATTTTGTTTTTGGTTTTTCCCTTTTTAAATTTTGAATTTAAAATTTGACACAGTGTTTCATGAAGTTGCCCAGTCTAGCCTCAAACAAGTGATCCTCCTGTGTCAGTTTCCTGATTAGCTGGGATTTCAGGCATGTGTTACTCTGTTCAACTATGTGAAAGGTATTTATGCATAGATGGGTGAAAATAAAAACGAGGCACCTGAGACAATTTGTAGTAGTATTCTACCTCATGTGATAGTTTTAATAACTCAGTATCTTATATTTATGAAATATTCCATTTTTTCAGTCTCAAAAGATCCAAGGGAAATGATATGATTTGACAAAGCTAAACCATTAGAAGGTTATTCAGTATCTCATTGTCTTCATTTATCTACATGTAAAATACTTTCTCCTTTTCTTAATGTATCATGAGCAGAAAGTATTCACATATGTCAAAGAATAGAAATTTCACTGAATGGAGATTCACATATGTATGACACAAACATGACAAGTATAGTTCATAACATATCAATTATGAAGTACAACCGGAGGGCCCAGCGGTTAATTGTTCTTGCAGAGGACTGGGTTCAGTTCTCAGCACCCACAAGGCAGCTCACAGCCATCTGTAACTGCAGATCCAGAGGATCTGATCCCTTCTGACCTTTGAGAGCACCAGGCATACATGTGACGCACAGACACATATGTAGGCAAGCACACATGTACAAAAAATTAAAATTAAATCCTTAAAAATTAAAGAGAACACAACTGTCATTCTGATCAGTTTCCCTAAGACCTTAATATTCTGAGACAATCTCAATCATTTCTGTTTTGCCAATAAATGTATAAAGCCACAGGTGTAGGAATGTTGCTAAGATCATGAAGTACTGGGCTTGATTTCTAGTACACCAACCCCTCCCCAAACAAAAATTTACCCTATAAAGGTATACAAAGCTATCTTAGAAGTTACACCCAGATCTACCTGTATTAAATTTTCTGTTGACTGAGTCAAATCTTTGAGTGGCAAAATTTCACTGCTATCCGTCTGAGTGGCATGGTCTGAAGTGAAAAAGCCAACTTTTAAATTGTCCGAAATAGTAAGTCTGGAAAGAGAATAGAGATACTAAGTTTCCTCAGAGGAAGGCAAGCACATATATTTGGAGGTAAGTTCGATTATATTTACAATACTGCAAGGGATTATTCAATACAGAAACTCTGGAACATCTGGTCATGCATGAGTTGGGCTTGAACTGCTTATCAGACTCCCTACACTGTGGCACCTTCACCTCTGTGTGCTTCCTTCACTTTTCTGGGCTATGATGTACTTAAGTCTATTATCATAATATCTTATCCTATATTATTGTTAGAGACGATTATAATTTCTGCATGGGTATATCTAATAGCAGCACATCAAGATGCATATTTTCCTGCTGTGATCTGAGACCACTTAGGTTTCCAGAACACCCTGTGGGAGAATCCATTAGAGAAACTTAGTTTTTCATAGTAATATTAGGAATTTTTCATTTCCCCTATAATTCTCTCACAAAAGGTCACTGGAGTGCTCCATGGCTAAATGAATCAGCCGCCTGTCTTTCAGCCAGCCATAAAAAAGATTTGCAAAAACAGTGACACTTTTCACCTTAAAATTTAAGTTTTGAAAAACATGGTTACATTTTTCTTTTAAGTCTGTTATTTATATTAATACAAGATTTTTAATCACTATGCTAAAGGAGTCATAATTATACATCTCATTTCTACTTTTTAATTTCGACTACGGCAACTATCAACAGATATGAGGAATATAAACCATAGCTCTCTGACGTTGTCAACACTTTGAAGAAACTCTAACAGGCTCTAAAGTCAGAAGGCTTGAGCCCTACTTTAGATAGTCACCATCCTGTAGCTGACTGTCACACTCTTCTCCTGATGCATCTGCAGAGGCCAGGAGCCAGTCTTTAAACATTCTTTCATGACAAGCATCTGTTGTGTGTGGGGGGGTATGCTTGTTAAATTTTTCATACTTTATTCCTTGTATTAGCAGAATAGGTGTTATTTCCCCACCTGATTTAGAGATGTTAAGAAGTGCCATTAAGTTTCACAGAGTAACATTCAGTAAGTGCAATTTTAATCCTTATTAGAAGCTAAATAGCATAATAATTTAATGCAATAAGCTAAATACACACAAAGCTTGCACATCCTTAACTACAAAAATAGTTTGCACAGACACGCATAGGTTTAGTCAACTATATATTTTCATTATGAAAGTATTTACATTTATGTCATATAACATCAACCAAAATATCTGTCCTGACATCAGGTTTATAAGCTTTGCCATCCCTATTACTGAAAGCATTTATCTTTAGAAACTTTACTGTTACCAAGGAAGATGAGGTCCACTAATGCTTAACAAATAATAGTTTTTTTCAAAAAAGCATTCTTTAGAAAGTATTAAAATAAATTATCTATTAAGACAGAATAAGATTCTTACAAGAACTTAGTTCCTTAAAAGAAAGACAAAAAGACAAACCGGTCGCCAGGCGGTGGTGGCGCACGCCTTTAATCCCAGCACTCGGGAGGCAGAGGCAGGCGGATCTCTGTGAGTTCGAGGCCGGGCTGGACCAACAGCCTCCAAACAATACAGAGAAACCCTGTCTCGTAAAAACCAAAAAAAAAAAAAAAAAAGAAAGACAAACCGGTTCATTCTCTTTAATAACTTCTCCTGCCACTGTCACAAAAATTTGAAATACATAAAGCATAAGCCTCAAGTTTCATAAAGTCAAAAGTATATTTAGATTACATATTATGCAGTTATGGTATATAGCTAGGAACACACAAGTCTACCTAAATACTACTTTACCCTTTTTAAATAGAACTACAACGTTGGCAATACTTTAAATTAGTAGTCGTTAAAGCCCAGTAAAGATTTAAATATAGTCAGATAAAGACAGGCAATGAAAGGCTCAAGTTATAAAGCTAAAATTGAAGACCTCTTTCATTGCATACCTACTGTAGACAAGTTATAATGCATTGTTTCCAATGAAAATATCAAAATTTCAGATATTACAAACATTGTCAAGATCCATAGTTGGCTTCATCAAAGGGTTTTCTAGCCCGTTTAAATTATTCGTTCATAGTAAGTAAGTCTTTAACTCTAGCAAACTTCCTTAGGTTCTTTTGAATAAGGGAGACAATATCTTCAACTTACATTCAATCCTATCTTCCAATCGCCTTGTGAGTCATTTCAGCAATGAACTCTATGACAAGGTCTTCAAGAATATCCACTGACTCAGTGTAAGGAATCTGGTTATCCCCAAACCCATACATCATACATCGTAATTCTTTGAAGCAAAGTTTACTTCTTTTTCCATGTCCACTTTCTGCTCCTCCTCCAATTTCTTCATTTCCCTCCTCAAAGGTGGGGTCTTCCTCCTCATCTGCCATCCTAGCTGCCTGCCAGCGTCCCGATACAAGCATCTTAAAAAGTTAATAAGGGAGCTCACTTTCTGCATGTACCCATCAATTTGATCAAGCTTATCACAACGTTTTGTTTCTAAAATGTCAGCTGAGAAAGAGGGTAGGGAAAAAAGGGAGGGAGAGGGAGTAGAGAGAGGGATGGAGGGAAGAGAGGTAGGGGAGGGAGGGAGGGAGGGAGAAAGGATGGATGCAAGCAAAATCCACTAGAAACAGAGGATCTGATGCAGAGTGGACATTTCTTACTCATTCTCTGCTGAGCAGCAGGGGCAGACCCTGCTAGAGGCACGATGGCCTTCCCACTCTTCTTGCACAGTGGCAGAGCTGTAGATGACTCCACCGGGAGAATTAGCTATACTAAAACCTGCCACACCCCTGCTCTTCCTATACTACCACATAATATGTACCTCCCGTTGGCATTTTCTGCCAACCATAGTGGAAGCATTCTAACTGACAGTCTAAGCACATTCATTTAGGAAAATTAGTTAACATTTTCTTGCCTCAATTTTGTGTGTGTGTGTGTGTGTGTGTGTGTGTGTGTGTGTGTGTGTTTGGGTGTTTTGCTTCATGTATGTCTGTGTACCATGTGCTTGGTTCTAGAAGAGGCTGGATGAGGGTGTCTGATCCCCTGGAACTGGAGTTACAGTTGTGAGCCTACACATGGGTGCTGGCAATCAAACCCAGTTCTCTGGAAGATCAGCCAGTTATCACTGAACCATCATCTCTCCAGCAAGCCCCAGTTTCTTCTTATAGGTAACAATAGTGCATAGTCCATAGGATCATTGATAGACTTGAGTGTATTAATCTTAGATCACTTTGGTGTCGTGTTTGATGTACAGTGAGCCCTCAAGGAATAGTGTTGGTATTTGTGCTGAGAGGGAGTTATTATTATACTGCTACTGCCAGCAGATTTTCTTTCTTTTGTTCTCTCTCCATACTCCCCTCTCTTTCTTTGAGAAAGGGTCTCTCTATTATGTAATTCTGACTGTGCTGGAACTTACTATGTAAACCAGGTGGTCTCTACCTCAAAAATATCAACCTGTCTCTGCCCCCAAGTGCTGGGACTAAAGGCATGCACCACCACTGCATGGCTGATGGTTAGGTTTTCAAACATCACAATTTGTTCATCATATTTGAAAAAAACTATGAAAGCACAGCAGTATTCAACTATGAAAAGCTAATTTGAGATTTAAAATTTAATACTCAAAATAATGATTTTCAATTAATCTCACCAAGTTCTCAATTGTGCTTCCACGCACTTCAATATTATGATGACAAAGCTAATCTTCAGCGGTGGCTAGACAGAAATGAAGCCTCAGATTTTAATTACAATTTCTGATTTCTTTTTCCCAAGAAGAAACTATGCTTCAGATTTAGTTTCATTCAGTTTAGGTGCTTGCATGTTTTCCTCACTGACACTGCGTTCTGGAAATATCCACAGGCCCTTCTCATTCCTGCACATTCTTTTAGGGGATGCCAAGAAGGAGAAATCTTTCTGCCAACCCTTTCTAAGTTATGTTTTCAGAGAGTAACCTTGAAAAATAATGTAACATCTTCCTCCTAGCCAGAAGCAATCTTGTTACTTATATAAAAATGGTGGCTAGACTGGAGAGATGCTTGACAGATAAAAATGCTTGATGGTCTTATTGAAGACCCTGGTTTGGGTTCCAGAACCCATTATGGCTAACAATCATCAGTAACTTCAGCTCCAGGAGAGTTGGCTCTATCTGCTGATCTCCTAGGTGCCAGGAACACACACACACACACACACACACACACACACACACACACACACACACACACACACACACTACACTTACATACGTGAAGGCAAAACACTTCTACACACATACACAAAAATTAATAAATTCATCTTAGAAGCAACAGTGGCTCCCAATCCCTGGGAATCTCTCCTTGAGTGTAACTCCCTGTGTAGATACCTACCATGGGTCTTTCACGTTACCTCTGTGGGAATTAGGGGATGAGATGGGACACTCAATACAAATGAAAATGAGGCTTTGGGTGCTGCCTTGAAGGAGTCACTTGTTTCTGGCCCTGGTATGGTATGTTTTCCACCAAGGATCAGGAGCAGTGACAGGAAAACCTGTTTGTGACTAAGTAGGATGATGTTTTAAGCAGTGCCTGACAAGCACTTGACCCAGAAAGACCATTGAGTGTGGTGGCATGCACCTGTAATTCTAACACTTGGAACTGAAGAATGACTATTGTACATTCAAGACAAGCCAGCGTTGAATATTCTCATTAAGACCAATTATGGAGGTAAATGAAATAATCATCAGTATTTAAGGTTCTGCCCCCTATGAAATCTATAATCAGCTCTGAAGATAATTGATGAAAAACCCTAATAAAGTATTATGAGTATATGAGATTAACCATAGTATCGTGCTGTACTGTAGAAATGAATAGTTAGACACTCAAAATTAAACAATTTTAAATGCTTTATGACACTGTAGGAGAAAAGCAACTTTTAGAAATAATGACAGAATTTCAGGAAAATATTCTTTGTACTTCAAAGATGACAACTATTGATAATGAATTGTTTTCCTGAGAAAAATGTATTTTAGAAATTTGAAAGTTCTCTTTTTTAAGTCAAACAAAAAGTCATGACATT